ACGAAAAAACCCATAAAGCCATGTTCGGGCCGGACCGACTTTGAAAAATATACCCGAATATTTTTCGAACCGGGCTTATATGTAGGCGGGCTTTACGGGTTTCGGGCCGGATCGGGTCAGGCTAGCCCGTTTGACATGCCTATTAATATATAGAGAATGTCGAAAGACTAGGTGAATTGATTGGTTAGTAGTTGTATTTTGGAATTTAAATAAATGGAAACATTAAATTGATAATGGCCTTGGTTAATGTTTTCGTGAAGTTGATCTTACACGCGACAAATCATTCTCAAATAATGTCTAGAGGATTAATGGAACGTTGTTTGAGATTTTTTCTAGTAATGATCTCCTCTGTCGAATTCTACACATTTTGTTTTTGTTTTTAATCTTCTATATATCTTTTCTTATTCATTTTAGTAACGAAAAAGAAGATGGAAATTGTTTTTTAGCCTATCCAACTTTTAATGCAAAATGAAATATCAACAGAAAAGAGTCATAAAAGAAAGAAAAGGCAAAATCAATGGCAATGGCTGATGACGACGATAACGGTCCTCCAGATGAGGAAACATTTGAGGATGCAATGCGAAAGGAGGAAGAAAGGAAGTGGAGTACTGACATGTCTGTCTGGAGGAACCCATGGCACCTGCCCCCCAACCTTGCTAACTTTTGAGTCTTGGAGTTCAGGAGACCGTGAAAGATACTTTTGTTGGGTTCGTCAAGAGCAGAGCAACCGTGGGCTTAGTTCGTTTGAACAGAGCTTTGTGACCGCGTACTTCAATCAGGCCCGGTTCACTACTATAAAGGGTCCAGAGCATAAATATTTTTTTTAGGCCCTATCTATTAAGTGTGACAAAAAATGGCCCTAATTTTACATGTTTTATATACAGGTTTTAAAAAATCGGACCCTTTATTTTAACAAATTTGGGTTAAAATTTTGTTTAAGTGTATTGCGCCCTGTGCAATTGCCCTGGTTGCCATACCCTTTGGTCGGGCCTGACTTCAATCAACACCGGAAATGCGATACCTCCGAACGCACAAGAGGTTTGAAGATGATGAGAAGAAAAAAAAAATGATCTAGCTACCTAAACTTTTCTCCTTTCATTTTTGTTCTTATGAATAAAGCTCTTAGAGCTATTTTTTTT